CCTAAATTGCGACACTTCCTTTAAAAAATAACAAAAAAAAAAAGCATATAACACACCGATCTCACGTCGTGTTTGTTTATTTACACCTCGACGAATGAAATAAGTTCACGAAACTGACTGTAGCCTGTAGCATTCCTTTCTGTATGCGGCATGAATTTGATTAGTAACATTGAACTTAATGCGTAATGAACGAGCAAATTTAATGAGCGAAGAAATCGTACAGTGAAAATTGTATAATCATGTTTTACTTTTACTTAAACGATTAAGATAGATAAAGATACGAGGTGAAATAAAAGGTGGGATAATATACATAAAAAAACTAATATTTACTTGTTTGAAAGATAAGTTTTTAAGATAATTTATCATCATAAAAAATTTGTTCAAATTACGTTTCTGATTATATTAAATATGAAGTTGTTATATCTTTTCAACTGCACTACGACCCAAATCTGAGTTTGACCTTTTCCAAACCATTCCTCCAACTTTGCTGGTCTCGAGACGATCTTCTCCAGTTCTTAAGCTCGCAAGTTTTGCGCGTCCACCCTTCCTCCTTTTTCGGGCATTCCCTTTTGGTCTTGCGCCCTGCATTTTATTATCTATGGTTCTTTACGGCAATCTTTTGGCTTCCATTCTTACTACGTGACTACCTCATTCTAGTCTCTGAAGTTTAAAGAATTCTAAGATCGGTGCAACTTCGAACAGTTGGTAGAGTTCATGGTTGCACCTGGATCTCCATTATTGCCGTTTTCGTTAATATGTCCAAATATCTTACTTAGATTTTCAATCTTTCAAAGACTTCCAGCTTTCTTTTGTGCGTTTTCTGCCATCACCTATGCCCACGCATCCATAATATACTATTAGACTGATAATAGTTTTGTATACCCTGAATTTTCGATCTCCATGTGTGCTTTTAGAGCGGAACTCAAGGACGAGTGAAAAATAAACTTTGTTTCCCTTTAGTATTTTTCTTTATTATTTCAGGTTCTTTTGTTCCAATCGTGTTTCCTCCTAAGTCCTATTCCCTTTTGGGATGTGTGACACCATCAGGCCTTTACAGTTTTTTTTACGATTTCCCTCCATCCTTCTCTGTCCTGGACTAGTTGTTCGGCTTGACCCAAAGGCTTGGAGATCTTCCCCCTAGGTCTCTTTCCTTCAACTCTACCCTCGACTATCAGTTTTTCCCATCGTACCTGTTCTTCTAGCAATGTGTCCAAAATACTGCAAATATCTATGTTGTATTTGTTTAAGCAATCTATCCTTTACTTTAAGTTGTTCTAATATCGATACGTTAGTGCGATGATCAATCCAGGATATTCTCAACATGCGGCGGTATACCCACATTTCAAAAGCGTCCAGTTTATTTTTATCCGCTTTCTTTAAGGTCCACGTTTCGGATGCATATGTGGCTATGGGAAAAATGAGCAGCCTTACCAGCCTTAGTTTTGTGTGTATTGTTATGCTATAATTTTTCCAAATTGCTACCAGTTTCATCATAGCTGTTCTAGCAATAGTCAACCTTCTACGTATTTCTCTGCCACACGCCACACCCTCCGTCATTTGTTATTAGGGACCCCAGGTATATGAAAGTATTTACTACTTCAAAGCCCCCAATTTCTTTAAGTGTTGAAGATTATTCCGAGCTCTGTCTACTATCATGATCTTTGTCTTACTCCTATTAGCTTTAGTCCATATGTTTTGCTTTTTTCCTCCAAACATCTCATTATGTCTTCTATTTCTTCTTGATTTGCCGCAATTATTAAAGTGTCATCAGCATATCTCAAGTTATTGATTTTTTGACCTCCTACTGATATTCCGCCCTTCCATCCGTCTAGTACCTTTCGCATAATGTGTTCGCTGTAGATATTAAACAGAGTTGGCGAGATTATGCATCCCTGCCTGACACCTGCCTCTGTTCTGAAATGATCGGAATGGGTGTTGTTTATTTTTACTGTGCACTTATTATTTTCATATAGACTTCTAATTAGTTGAATTAAGTGGTGGGGTGTTCCCATTTCCGCTAGTATGGACCATAGCTGCTGCCATTTGACTTTATCGAAGGCCTTTGTGTAATCCACAAAGCACATAAGCATAGGAGTATTGAATTCACGAGTTTTTTCGATTAGCTGTCTGACATTAAGGATGTGTTTCTTGTGCCTTTTCCTGGGACAAATCCCGCTTGTTCTTCTGATATCTGAGGCAATAGAAAAGCTTTTAATCTTTCATGTATTACATGAAGTAGAACCTTGCTTGCATGGGATATTAGGGTTACCGTTCTGTAGTTGCTGCAATCTAGCGGAGTTCCTTTTTTGAATATAGGGATGAAAGTGGATGTTGTCCAGTCGTTGGGCCACTCTCCGGTTTCTCAATCTTTTTGCAGATCATATGCATAACATTTACTCCAACATCTCCAGTCTCTTTTAAAACTTCTGCGGTGATCTCGTCTGCGCCAGGAGATTTTCTATTTTTCAACTTATTGATTGCTTTTTCTACCTCTGACTTAGAATGTTTGGTTCTCTCTTCTGCATGAACTCATCGTGATTTGCATTCTGGGGATCATCTTCATGGATTCGATATTCTTCTCCATTATTGTTTTTGTGCATTGGTTTAAATTCCCTGATAGATATCGGACTTTGTTATATAGCTCATGGGATTCATACCGGTTTGCATGTCTCTCTAGTTCTTCGCATTCTTCATTTATATGTTTATTTTTATCATCCCTACATGCTCTTTTAATTTCTCTATTTAAGCTTGCTAATTCGTTTTTGTTGTTATCGTTTTGATATATGAGAGATTTGATTCTCTTCGCTCTTCGAGAAGTTGCAGCGTTCTGTCTGTCATCCAGTGTTTTTTTGATGATCTTTTTTCGGTTCTGGTTCTTTCTACAGAGGTTTCTATGGCATTTCTGAAACCTTTCCACATTTCTTCTGGGTTGTCTTGTGTGTTCAACATACTAGTTTCCTTTAATGCATCTCTAAATGTTTTCGGATTTGAAATCTCCAGCCTGTTTTGATTTTGGTGCGGTATTGTTCTTTTAGCTTCATCTTGAAGCAAAGCCCTAGCAATTTATGATCGGATCCACATTCAGCTCTTGGTCTAGTTTTTAACGTTTTGTAAAACATGTCTTCCATCTGTTTTCTAATCAACATGTAGTCATTTGGGTTCTGTGTCGTGTTTAATGTCAATCGTGTTTGATGTCCCAATATGTGAAACTTTCTACTACTTCAATATCGTCCTCCAATTCAACTGTGCATCTATTTTGTCTTTTTGAATATTTATTTCTAGTCTGGTCTCTTTTGACCGTTTTTTATTCTGAAGTTGTGAATATATTTCTGGCCACCTCCTCCGTTCGAGGAGCATATTGCTGATGTCATCGGCATAGGCGGCAATCTGTATAGATTTATTTGTTAAAGCTCTTCCTATATTCAACTGTCTTATCCACATATACAAGAGACAGTTAATGTGTCGGTGATAGTTCGTTCCCTTGCTTTAATCATTTGACTATTGAAAAGTTCGTAGTGAGTTCATTTTGTATTTTGACAGTTGCTGAGTTAATGAGTATATTGTTTGAAATTTATGAATATGTAGTGGATGTCAATGTCGTATTCCCACGATTAGATTTTAACTCATTTCACTTGTATAGCTGGTCAGAAGTAGATCTTCCTTGTCAAAAACCGGTTTGATATTCTCCGGACGATATTTAAGTCAAATGTTGGAGTCGTTTATTTAGTATATAAGTAATAACTCTGTATACTGTGCATAAGAGGATGGCGCGATAATTTTCGCATTTCAGTTTTATCCCCTTATTTCAAGTTTATCCCCTTTATTAGATTGGGCATAAAAGTTAATCCCGGTTTTCCAGTCGCTTAGATTAATTAAAAAATTATGATGCCGTCAAAAAGGAAATACAATATTTACACATATATTCCTATAAATTACAAATATTTTTCCCTTGTACAAATGTTCCTCAATGAATAACTCCTTGCAAAAGGAATTTTACTGGAAATACGCTGAGAGATCGAAACAAAAGTGAAGACTTTAGAAGAAAATGTAATGTACATTGTATAAATGAATGGACACAAAATAGAAAAAAGATGGAATAACCTCATAAGCAGAATGAGGAGACCCGTGTAGTCAAAAATAGCAACAGATAAGTCACCAAGCGGCAGAAGAAAGCATCGGAACGACCGTGCAAAAGAAAGATGGTGACAACCTTCCATACAGGTATTAATCCGCCAATGAACAAGCAGGAATTGCTTATAAAGAGGATGAACGAAAAATTTCATTAATATAAACTTCTGTGTTTTCTTTCCTAGATGTGGCTATCATCAAACCTCAACAATTTTATCAAAACAACTAAGTCTTTTCCACTAAACAAATCTCTTCCGGTTCCATCTGCAGTAAATATGGCGTCAATATCTTCATCAATAGAATTTATAAAACCGCGGCAAAATTGCTTATACAGAGGAAAAAGAACCATCTGCTGAAAAAGTTCTTGCTTACGGTTTTTTGGGATTGCTTAGGAGTACTCCTGATTGATGTCTGTATCGAGGATACAGCAATAACTGGAGGGTACTAATCGACATTATTGACCACTCTAACGAGAATAATCATGTGGAGAAAGAGTGAAAAGTTGTCTAAAGGTATTTTATTTTACACACTACGTTTTGCTCGCGATTTAGAAGTATACTTACTCAAAAGCCATTCTTTTACCAGATCTGGCTCCGTCCTGCTTTCAGGTATTTCTTCAATTGAAAAAAAGGCTAGAAGGTTAACATTTTCATCAAATTTTCAGGATCATTAGCAAAGAAAAATTTGATCACCAAAAAAGACTATTGTCTTTTAATTGTTGTTTAAAAGTATTCTGGGAACGACAATTATGTAGAAAATTAAATAAAGGTTCAGGTATTAATTTACAAGGAATTTCCAATTGTTATTTGTCGTTTATTTCAAAACAACTTAAAAAGCATGCATTTTACCAATAAAAATCAGCGTTAACTAACCTCTTAACAACCCTTCGTTCTGCTCTAATCTGCTACCAACCTCAGCATCGGTCTCGCTCCGAAAACATTTTGAAAAAATACTTCGAGAACCCATAGTTTCGTCTCTTTCTATTAGTAAACTATATTTTCTTCTTAAACTATACTTTCCTACCACACAGATAATTTTTACTAACACCGAATTTAAAATAGTCAAAATAAATTAAGAACACTATATTTTAATAAATTAATCTTATAGTTTTTTCAATTCCGGTCGACTTAGGGAACTGTCAACTGTCAAATCTCGTTACAACCTTTACTTCTTCAAATCTCGCAACACTTCTTATTAAGTCATTTATCTATTCTTTTTCTTTTCACACACTATTTTCTGGCGTCTAACTGGATCCTTGTCACGCTGAACATCTAATCAGTTGCTAGGTTTTCGGTTCATTTCACCTAAAACATTAAACGTGTTTAGACGATTACATAATATTTTCAAAAAATCCAAGGTAGATTTTTTTAACATGATTAGATAAGTATTTATTGATTGAATTTATATTAAATGTAAGTGCACTGTGGTATTCGCCAAAATAAACAGTTCCGATATGCAAAAAACTGAGGAATTCGATAATAGAAATATTTGAGTAGTGGAAAACAATAGGAAAGTTACATCTAAATCCTATTTATGAGCAAAAAAGGATTAACCCGTATTGATAAAGCAATAAATCAAATCCCAAACAATAAAAAAAAAACGTTTTTTGGGTTGGTATGTTCAACCAGGTTCTTTCAATTCTACAACGTCTGTAACAAATTCCTGTTCAACTAACACTGAGGAGACTACTTTCTAAATTTTCAAAAAATTAATTTTGTTTTTTACGTACAAACATTCCTTTGTCTCATACAAATACTGTCCTAAAATTTTATTAAGAAATTCGAAACAGAAACAAAGTTATACAGCTGTATATTCTATAAACTTGGAGCAAAAATAGAATAGAATAGAATAGAAATATGTTTTATTATCACTGAAAATTATTGAACAATTTATGGACAAAGCTAAAAAATAAATCAGTCAAATAGTACAAAAAGTATAAAACAAAAACAAATATAGTAAAAAACAGAATAACACAATTTTAAATTAGTAAAATTATTGTATAACCTACATAATTTGTACAGACAACAACAAATGAGACAAATTGTAGCCACTGCTTGAGACACCCATATGTAATTATAAAACAATACTAATTTTGTTTCTTTGTTATACATTAAGAAACCGTCAACTGAATAATATGGTCTTTCTGAGAGATAGATTTTTGTCACCTTACGAAACTTAATGGAAGGATGTTGCGGATTTAATTTCTCTTGGAAGGTGATTATAAAGTTTCTTTGCACGATATAGAATAGAATTCTTTACTAGCTGAGTGGACGGATCGGCAAATAAACGTTACAATCCGAATTTCTAATGGAGTAGCCATGGTCAGGTCTATCGGGAAAAATGTTTAGATGCTTTCGAATCAAACAAACCGTTTCCAAAATAAATAAAGAGGGAAGCGTCAAAATTCCGTGATTTTTTGAAGTAGGTCTTGCAATGAGTTGTTTGTTTGAGACCAAATAGATAACGGATTGCTATTTTTTGCAACTTAAAAATAGTATCAAATTGGGCCGCTGTACTAGAACCCCAAAATGGAAGCCCATATCGAAGATGGGACTCGAACAATGAGAAATATGCCATTTTGGCAGAAGATAAATTTAGTTCCTTCGCAACAAATCTTATTGCAAAGCAAGCTGAGGCTAGTTTCTTCCTTAAGGAGTCAGTATGCAAGGACCATGTGAGATCACTGTCAATGAGAATACCTAGAAATTTCACGGAATTTACGATATTGATTTGGCTCTCATTCAAAAGCAAGGGTTGCATAGTATAAACGTGTTTTCTCGAAATCACATTTTTTAGAACTGGAAGAGACAGAACATCCTAACTTGAATACATATTCAGACACGAGTGATATAACTCGCATCAACTAATAATGGAAGGAAAAATAGATGAAAAACGCAGTCGTGGCAGATTGACAAATGACATGACTGCGTAACGTCAAGGAATGGAGAGGAGTCGACCTCCAAACCTTAATAAGAAAAGCTCAAAATAGAGAAAAATTTGTAGAACTCATCACTAATATCCATAACAGACGGTACCTAAACCAATATCAAATCATTATCGAGTTGCGTAAGTTTTTGACTGAGGAAAGTATCACACATTTAACTGTTATTAGTAATAACAGTGTCAAAGAAAAGCAGACCCAACAAATGTAGCGACTTTATACTGTCTGATGAGCCACAAGCTTACGATATTATTGCGAAAGTAGACTGAGTGATAAGCAATGTGGGTTTAGAAATGGCCACAGAGAGAAAGAGAGAGAGGGGGTGATGAGAGAGAGATAGAGAGAGAGAGAGAGAGAGAGAGAGAGAGAGCAACTACTGGAGTAAAAACTACCTCCACAATGGTCTAGAATGAATCTAATAAAGATAAGCTAAAAACTATCCAGAAACATCACAAGACCGACAAGGTTTGAGTACAAACAGGGATGGCCTGCAAGGTAAAAATCGAGGGTAAAAGATCCATAGGCAGACGAAGAATTTCCTGGCTGAAAAACCTAAGTAAAGTGGTATAGTTGAAGGTAAGTAGATCTTTTCAGAGAAGCCGCCAATAAGGTACGGATAGCTGTGATGGCCTATGTCCACCAGTGTATTTAAAAGGGTTTGATGATAATGATAAACGATGATAGAAAACATCTTCTTCTTTCTCTTTATAAGAAATTCTTGCTTGTTTATTGGCGGATTAATACCTGTATGGCAGGTTGTCACTTTTCATCATTTGCGCGATCTATTCATACATCTTCTGCCGATTGATGATATGTCTTGCGAGTCGCATCCTGCGAGTCTGTGTAATTCCCCAGGGATTTTATTTCCATTAGTTGTTCAATACTGATCCCATCAATTTCTATTTTACATCTGGTTAGTTCTTTACTGACTACTGTTTTAAGTTTTTTTTAAACATAAGAGCAAAATTCTTTTGCTCTTATGTTAAGTCTGTGAACCAGTATTTGTAGACTATCTTCATCTTGGACCTATCAATATTGCGTCGTCTGCGTAACAGACGACGCAATATTGCTATAACTCACTATTTCTATAGGTTCTGTAAGTTGTTCATCTATTCTGACTTCCATTTTATTGTTTTGGCAGATATTTTAGATAGTTTTTATAATATTTAGAGGAACTTCTCTATTATACAGAAGATGAATTACATCTTTGAGTCTTAATCTGTCAAACGCTTTCTTTAGGTCAATCATACACAGAAATGCTGGTCTATCATACTCTAGTGATTCTCAGTAATTTGTTTTATAACGATTATTGGATCTTCCACTACGCAAACCCTGTTGTTAATCTGCCAATCTCATTATCTGATTTATTAGCACTTGTAGAATTTTAGCGTAGTATTTATAAGTTTTCTATTAAAGTAGTTTTCTGGTTGTTTGTATCTCCTTTTTTGAATAGTAGAAGTAGTTTCGTGTCGTTCTTCATTCTTCCGGTATTTTATTAATTAATGTTGTTTAATTGTTATATCATTGCTGCTCCACAATGTTTCAGTAATTCGTTTGGTTTCCTATAGGAAACATATAACATCAAAATGGTTGATAGGGAGCATCACTTCCTACCAACCAATGGTTGATAATTAATCTAGCAAGGAATTTGTTGATAGGAAGACATGTAACTATTGTTGATAACATGGACCAGAGCTAATGCTCCATCACACAATGTACAAAGTAGTAAGGCAGTTATCAGTAATTCAACAATACCAGATATGAACAGATTGGCAGAGGAAACTATACCATTTGTAACAACGATGTTTAAAAAGCAATTGTATTACATTATCAACAATATCACATTCAATATAACTAAGAGAACTTAACATGTTTACCTGAAACATCAGTTTTTTAGAAGAAATCAATTTTTAACTTTATTAAATACTGCATATTTTGGCGATTACGATATTTAAACACATTATTTAGTGAGAACGTAATAGTGATGCGTTTCTTTATAATACAGGTATTAAAACTAACACTTTTCATAAAATTAGATATATGCTGTTTGCAAACGCTTTTTTACTAGCCAAAGGAAAGTAAAGCTATTGTTCAGAAAATATTTTCTTGAGACATAGTACCTACTTGTGTAAAAGATTAACAAAAAAATTTAATTAACAGTTTGTAAGTTGGTAAAAGGTACATTTTACAATTATTTTGAAAGATACAGGGTGTCCCAATAAATTGTGGCGTATCAGTTTATATTTTTTCTTAGTTAAACATAAACTTTATATCGAGACCTGAGGATGCTTTGCATATTGTAGAAAGCGAAACCGGTCGTCTGATAGTTAAATTAATTGATTGTGAGTAAGTCTTATTTATTATTCTCTTTACCTATTTGAAATGGACTCACACAAGCAACACATTCATGATTTTTATTAAACATCTATTTTTTAGATTTTTCAAAATTTACAGTTTCATTATCGGATTATTTAATGAATGGTATAAGGATGTCCTAGACCGAGGTGTCATAGTTTTTGCGTAATTTACAATTATTTATTTTAAAATGTAGTTTTTATCAACTTACAAACTATTAATGTACAAAAATGTTTAAATCTTTGACCATTTCTTTCGGCTTATTAGTGGTGACTCACCCTGTACATCACCATTTACGCGGCCGTCAAAAAAATGTGGGTCAATCAGTCAATTAGTCCCTAACAATACAAGCCCAAACAATTATAGACCACCTAGTTTGACTATGACTGTTAATAAAGTAGGGATTTTTTGATATATTCTGGATGCAAGTAGGGATGCAAAGCATATCTGTTAATTCTTCAATGAAAAAAATTATTTTTAAAATTCATGCTATTATCCACCATGTCTTATTTCTTTGGACTATTTGTCACTAGTCTCCCGGTACCATATCGAAATATAAATCTCAAGCGCGGTTTTCTCGTCATAAGCACTAAAGAAGTGACACAATCTTAAGCAAAACTAAAAATATACTTACGAATGCACAAATGCACAAACATAGACATTACAAAAAGATTAATTTATAACTTAACGACTGCTTTTAAAAACGGATAGAACACAGCGCACTGCTTGACTGCACAGTGTCTTTTTTTCGTTTCGTAAGAAACCTTAGACTATGTTTAAATATTTATTACATACTATGGCATAAGTTACACTTCGAATATTAATTTGTTGTTTTTCCCAATATTTTCGGTAATAACAATTAAAATTATTTGCGTCTGTTTAAATAAACGTTTCCTAGCAGTACTTGGAAACCATCGAAAAGGTATTCCATACACCAGTCACATCAACTATACATAGCACACACTTTTATACATAATGACGTCTATATTCTTTGCTATTCTATTTGCT